ATAGTTTGCGCTTACTCAAAAGGGCCATTAGGTTTTGATTATAAAACATTACCAAAAAAAGAATTTGAGAGAGAGAGAGAGAGAGAGAGAGAGAGAGAGATTCCCTCCAGCTAAAAAGAGGGTATCAATAATTGGTCTTTTACTTGCCTTGTTGCCTTCCTTATCCACCACTCCAGCTTTAAGTTCTGGCATATCAGAAGGATATATCCAAATATCTTCTGTAAAGTGCGAAGAGGGGGGAAGTCCCAAGTGAAAAACATGGTGGCTTTCAGCACACTATCCCATAATCCCACCCAACAAATCCCCATTTTAATCTCCTTTTGATTCTCTCACTATTCAATATAACTACATGAACAATTATAATACTAACAATAATTAGTATAGGAAACAATCCCAAATGGCCAAGCAAGTATGGCAGGCCCCAACCTCCCCATGTTACAAATCCCCCTTTACCTGTCCCCACTCTCTCTCCTTTTTATAAAATCCCCAAGCCCTGCCTTCCCCTCTCCTTCACTCCCATACCACCTCCTTCATTGATCTCTTCTCCTGTACACATCTTTGAGCCATCAAGGCTTTTTCCTCCTTCTGTTCATTGCTAGAAAACCCATCACATTTAGACTTACATATTTAACACACAAGAACATACACAGAACCTAAGAAATTATGTGCAGCTCTAAGGCCAAGGTGACCATAGGGGTTGAAGTCACACCTATGGTTGCTAGAATCAATGGCAGACCTGTCCTTCAGCCTACCTGCAATCGGGTTCCTAGCCTCGACAGGCGGAATTCGATTAAGAAAATATCAACACCACCTCCCCCTCCACCATTGCCAACTTCTTCTGCTAGTAGTACTAGTCCTAGAATTTCCAGCAAGGCTTCATCATTGTTAACACCTCCAATTTCTCCAAAGTCAAAGTCTCCAAGGCCACCAGCAATAAAGAGAGGAAATGACCCTAATGGGTTGAACTCAAGTTCTGAGAAAGTTGTGACCCCAGGAGGTACCACAAGAGCTAAGATTTTGGAAAGGAAGAAGTCCAAGAGCTTTAAGCGTGCTAGTGTTGGTGTTGATGGTGCTTCTGCTGATCTTCATCATCATGGAGATTTTAGTGCTGGTGGATTTTCTTCTTCTTCAAATATCGAGGCATCGTTGAGTTATTCGTCTTCTTTGATCACTGAGGCGCCAGGAAGCATTGCTGCTGTGAGGAGGGAGCAGATGGCCCTTCAACATGCACAAAGGAAGATGAGGATTGCCCATTATGGAAGATCAAAGTCTGCCAACTTTGAAAGGGTTGTTCCTGTTGATGCTTCTGGTAATATAGAAGCCAAGGGAGCTGAAGAAGAGAAAAGGTGCAGCTTTATCACAGCTAATTCAGGTATGGTCTATATATTCTTAAGAGAAACTTCATGTTGAAAATATAAACTTATGCTCCTTAAAAATATTCGACTCATTCACTGATTGTTTCATTTTCTTTGTATGATATTCTCAGATCCCATCTATGTTGCTTACCATGATGAAGAATGGGGAGTTCCAGTTCATGATGACAAGTAAGAACCCTCTCTATTCCACACAAAAAAGTTATTATATATATAACGAGTGTATATAACATTACTCTCACAATAAGTAATTACCTTATAAAGATAAATGTCAGAAGAATGTTGTATGCATTGGTCATATATTTCTACTCATTTTGTTTCAATTTGTTCATACTGCAGGATGTTGTTTGAACTGCTTGTTCTCAGTGGAGCTCAAGTTGGCTCAGATTGGACTTCCATTTTAAAGAAACGCCAAGATTTTAGGTGAGTCCTTGTTTTTCATATTGCTTCTCTTTTAAAAAAAAAAAAAGGAATAATATTTCTGAAACGTGCATGTATATTTTCTCTCTCCAGGAATGCATTTTCAGATTTTGTTGCAGTGCATTTTCAGATTTTGATGCAGAAATTGTGGCCAATTTCACTGACAAGCAGATGGTGTCAATTGGTTCAGAATATGGCATTGATATAAGCAGGGTCCGAGGAGTTGTGGACAACTCTAACCGAATTCTTGAGGTAAAAACTAAGGCAATCCTCAAAAATTTTGTCATCTATCAATCTTTTCCATCTTTTCTGTCCCCTTCTTTTAAGGACCATCTTTGCTGATCAAATGATCATGTCTTCTTTTTTAATGGACTTGTTACTCAAAAGAAATATTTAAGTAAACAAAACCCATAAAAAATAAAGGAATATTAAAGCAGTTATTGACTTTGACCATCATTAGCAGCTTAATCTATAATTCTTTTTTGGGTCTCAATCTTTAATCTATTATTCTTTTCTTCTTATTTGGTGAAAAGCTTGTCCACTAGTGGCTTCCAACTGTCCTGCATGATGTCTGCAATATATGAATTATATTACTGCAAGAATTATATACCTAATAATAGCCCTTCTGATTTTAATACACTTGGCTGTTCATCAGAATTATGTGTTATATTTAAACTAATGTGCCCCATCTTTTGTGCTTTTAATTGCAGATTAAGAAGGAATTTGGATCATTTGACAAGTACATCTGGGGGTTTGTCAATCAGAAACCCATCTCACCTCAGTACAAATTAGGCTACAAAATCCCAGTTAAGACATCGAAATCAGAGTCCATCAGCAAGGACATGGTTAGGAGGGGATTTAGGTTTGTGGGTCCAACAGTTGTTCATTCTTTCATGCAAGCCTCAGGCCTCACAAACGACCATTTGATCACTTGCCACAGGCACCTCCAGTGTACCTTATTGGCAGCTCGCCGTCCCACATTGGAAGAAGTTCTATAGGATCATTGACATCAAAGAGGAGAACATTAATGACCCAAAAGTGTTTAGGGCTCAATATGCTAGAGAAGTGAGTGCATAGTTTGCTAACTATATAAAAAAGCAAAAAAAAAAAAAAAAAGTTACTTTTGATGGTTGTGACTTGTGTGTATAATATAAATAGAGAAAATGGTTGTGATTAGTTGTGAGATTTAATTTAGGGACTGAGAATGCTTCAACGATTAAAATTCGTGTGAACGGTTGATGATAGCATTCTTAGTTAACAAGAGTTTGAAATAGATAGATGAGTGGTGTTGCAGAGGGAGCTCTCAAGGAGACAGGCATCATGTGCATATGCATTAAGGAGGCAGGGCATGTGTGGATGTGTCAGTGTTGCTTTTTATTCCATGTGACCCATCAAACTTTGCATTATTTTGAATTCCTTTAACAGGCTGTGTGGGATATTGGAAGATGGAGTGTAGGACCAGACCACATATTAATTTCTCTTTCTCAATTGCTTTGTTAATTGAGTTGTTAGTTAATCTTCTGTACCTGTATTTTTCTAACCCTTTTTGGCTTTGGGGGAATATTATACCCCATTGTTGTGTATCTTGAATTTGATGTGAGAGGTTTTGAGTGTTGTTTGATTCAATTTCCATGTGCTTGCTTCTGTTCTGATTGCTGACTTTTATATATAAAATACCTTTTCAAATGTTAATCAAATAAGATAGGTATCTTCTCCATGTGTCCAACTTTCTTTTTTCCCTCTATGCCTTTCCCTCTCACATACTCACACCTATCAATTTCCAAAAAGGAATGCTTGGCATTTTCATCAAGGGCATTTTGCGCATTGGTTGGCTTCATGAAGAAGGGGGGCTTTTCAAGTGCAATAATTAAGAGGATGAGAGAGGGCCTCGCATGATTATTAATGACAAAAGAATTCTACAATGATGGGGCACTAAATCTGTGTACCACAATGAAATTTCTCTAGAGCCATAGATTTTGTGCTTGGGTTAGGAAGTTGTTT